GGGGACATGGCCGTAAGGAGAGGGGGCGGGGTGGCCTGGGCCTATCAGAAAAGAGAGGGTATAACAGTGTTATTATTATTATTATCCAGTTATACTTTCTCTAAGTGGACATGCAGAGAGAACATGTAAGTATTCTTCTACAGAAACTACTAAAAATGTAAATGTGAGTTTATATTAACACATATTTTCTGCATCCGAATCTTGTTGGATATACATTTAAGCTAGAGGATGCTGCCACTGAGCAAATGAGCTATTGATATTTAGCTCTCACGTGAGTCTATAGCTGCTTATTGGGGTCATTTCCTGACTGTGCAACAAGCTGGCTTCTTTCACGAAACACTGTTACCATGGCACATATTCCATGAATTGTTAATGAAAGAACCAATTACAGCAGTGCCTCTGACACACCACTGCATAATTACCAGTCAAAGGCTGTTTCGCCTCTCTGTTGCCCTCCAACGCAGGGCAAATCAGTCAATTACCTCACTGAGAGTCATCCATATTCATAGACATATCTGTCTCCCTTTACTGGCAAAACATTTGCTACAAAAGCACTATAATTAAGTGAACATTACAGGAGAGGAGGGAGAAAAAACAAAAACCCGATGCCAGTTCATTACAGTGGTGACGGAGTAATTGCAGCTAAAAACACTAATTTACATAAAGACAAAAATGGCACTGGAAGGGATCATTTGAGTGTTTTGAATAATTTGTGTTGTCACCATGCATTGGAAAGTCCTTACTGACCTGAGGAAGAGAAGAGGGGTCGTGCCAGGTCGTGAGGGTATGGAAACCCTGGGAAGACTCCAGGAGCTGGGGGGCGACTGAACAGGTCCAACTTCCCATTCATGTCTAGTTTGTGAGGATCCAGCTGCATTTGCTGTAGTCAAGAGAGAAGCAGAGTGAGACAAAGAAAGGACATTAGGTGTCTAGACAGAACCAAACGTTTCCAGAGGCAGGATTTATCCTCAGCTACATTTAGTGAGAGATCAGAGGAAGACAGATACATCAACAATGGCTCCATGTCTAAAATTGTAGCTAACAGTGTTATACAAATATATGTATTGGTTAGAAAAACTATATCATTGTTTACGGGGGTTCAAAGCCCAATAATGGCCGACACCATTGGCATAAGCAGAGGATCTCCATGGCGAGGCCACACCATCCTCCACACAAATATTTTTGTCTGTGTCCCAATCATCAATACAATTACATAAGGTGCAGGATTGAGTCCTAAAACACGGAAATTAGTTAGCATTTATGACTTCCTGTTCCCTCGTCTCAAAGTCAATGTGTTCTTGTGAAATTCCTGAAATAATATCTGTGGCAAACACTACCTTAAGAGCGTTTCATGTTTGCTTCTACAACATAACATATGTCAGTAAATACCCCACTGGTGGATTTAAAACAGTGGTTGTTAATGTGTCTAAATGAGACTCCTAAACGTCATCAAGCAGAAAGTTAGCTTCCTTTAGCTTAGCTTTGGTGATAAGTAGACATGCGACTAGGATGTTGTTCTTTAATAGCTTAACTTTAACTTTTTACTTCTGGCAATTTCATTTGACTGAAGCTTTATACATGTCTTAAAAACAGCGGTTGCTAACAAGTGGCAAAATGAGACAATTAAAACTCATCATGCGGAGAGTTAGCCGCCTTTAGCTTAGCGGTGTTGATTTGAAGTGGGAGTTCCTTTATAGCCTTAATTTAGCTTTTTACTTATAGAGATTGCAATTATGCTTTATGCTATTAAGTGGTGTTAAGGTGCAGAAATGATCCTGCTGAACAAAATGTGGAAGTATCATAAACGTGTGTTTGCCACAGATCTTATTTACTGCAATATTGTGAATTTTTATGTAAAAATCTCATTGTTGTTTGTACAAGGGAGCTCTTGCGATGCTAACTTCCGTGTCGGCCTCCACAAATAAGTAATCACTGCACCACATATACTGATTATGTGCTATAAATGTCGTGGTTTTTGATCGGCCTATTTCTATTTAAATGCATTGAGTCATGCAGAAAGCCTTTGTTATCATTATTAACCTTAACAGCATTTTTGTATCCGTCATCGCACCAAGAAATTATCTTACAGGTAACAATCCAACTATGACATGACAAGCCTCACTTATTCCTTTACCCAATACACTGTTTCTGGTTTTACATGACAGCAGGATTCCTGAAAGACATCGTTATCCGTGTCACGCACCTTCATTTTCTGCTGGTGGTGGTAGATCTGCCATGCGATCTGGACATGCACTGCGCACCACTTGCCAGGTTTCTAAAAATTTAGAGAGAAACTGAGGTTAGCCTGCTGGCTTTGATATAAGGAGCTAAAAATGGATTCTGGCATTGAGATTTTCTGGCCAAACTACAAAGTGGGAACTCGTCAGAATTTTTCAACCAGGCAACGGATTAAGAAAAATCTAACCCTGACTTCAGCCCAATGAGACCTCAAAGCTACCCTTAAATTCAGCCAAAACCATGAACTTCCTTGATCAGGAGTGTTTGAAGAATTTGCAGTTTTAGACTTTGTGGCCTGGCCAGAGAGATGAAACATTTTTTACAGAAGATGGACAAGACAACCACTTACCCTGACGGATGTCCTGTATGGATCTGATATCTGTATGGACGAATGGACAATCAATAACGTAAACAACACATATAAAAAGCGGATATGCAGTTCTGCAGGCTTAAAGAATCAACAGTGTTTCGATTCTTCATTTAATACTGAGTGTCTCTTTGCAAATCCATGCATCCACATCTCTTTGAGACACATACAGGGTGGACAACAGGAAAAGAAACAGACTGTTTCAGGATGCTATCGATGCTTACCCGTGGATCCTTCTGCAGGAGTGTGTGAGGTACTGCTCCAGGACGTCCCCCAACGTCAATGGGATTAGATGACTGATGGAAAGAGAGGCAAAAGGAAACAGAAACATGGTTAGATGTACGGTAAAAAACTCAACATTTACAGATCAGACAGCTTAAAGAAAAACAGGATATGTATTCCAAGGCGTTCATAATCTATTTTTTAAGACTTTTTTGGGGGGGTTTGAGAATGACGCTTTGAATATCTGTCGTCACAGTTCCTCTTTCTGTATTAAATCAACTTTATGAAATGAATGTAACCTTGAGGATTGCAGTGGAAATTAATTTGTTCAACCGCTGAAGTCCACACATCTGACAATATTCAGCAGATAAAGACTAATTGTGAACTTAGAAAAGGATTACCTCTGTTTTTTATGAATACATTTTGATTTATTGGAAATGTTTGAATCCCATGAGAGGGAAATGTATTTATCTACTAGTGTTATGCTAATTGTATTATTGTAGCCTCACTGTTATCTGTTACTCTGCAGAAACCAGATACAAAAAAATGAATACATTAATATATGTATTGTAGTCAACAAATGTTTTTGCTTATTGACAGCTAATGTACTCGCTGTTTATAGCTTGTATCTTCACGGTTGATTGCCCTTATTGTGCGGCGCTTCGGATAAAAACGTCAGCTTAATGAAATATAATAAACTGTAATGAATAGACGTGCTTGAAGGATCATTTAGAGAACGAATGTCAGCGTTATGAAACGAAGCTTTGAACTATATTCTGCACGGATACACAGTACAAACAAACAAGATTGATACGCGTTGCATGGAAACACGGGAAACTGAAAACACTGTAAGACACTATAGTGGTGCTAGCTTCCCTGTAACCCTATACCTTCCTACAGCACAGCTCACTAATCCTCAGCGACTGCTTCTGCCTGGCTGATGTCAGTAGATCAAACTGAGAAGATGCTGCAGGCGCTGAGCCGCGTCAGAGAAACACATCTCCCCCCATCTCTAAGTCTTTGGAGTGCCTAGATCAGCCTTATTAATCCATCCCGACACGTCACGGAGAAGAAGATCCGGCAGGGTGACCCCCCCCCCACACACACTAACAAACACACATCCCAAGCGCCCCCTCCCTAGCTACTCTCCAGGAATACTTAGCAGGGGCTTTGGACACATAAGACTGTTCCAAGAACCATCTGGAGGGGCCTTCCACAAAAGGGCCCCCTCCACGACAGAGCCCCCTGGGAACCGGGCCAGCGGATTTAGGCCAGCTTTGATTGGTGGCTTACACCGGGTCACAGCCGCTGGGCATCTGCCAGACAGACTCCTCACACCCCTCCTCACCCCTTCCCCTCCCCTCACATCCTACACTGCCTCTGCATATTCTCCCCTTCACTCTCCTAAACATCACTTTCTCATCTGTGGCCTGGCCTGTCTTAGATCAGTTCAGGTCCAGTCAGGTCTGACAGAGTATTATAGATAGATTTGTGGATTTAAATGGGATGGGGTGAGATTTATTACAATCTTGTTCAGATCTTTGGTGGATGAAGCTCTGCTGCTTCTGTCAACCAAAGACAGAAAACAGAAGGTCTTTTTTTTTTATTGGAGAGAAACTCACTTCTAGCCTTCACAGACCATTTACATGGTATGCACACAAGCCTTTATAACACATGACAGGAAAGGGAAAACCCAAAAGCTAAATAGGGCCTTTTATTTTAAACGTATTACTTCATTGTCTTATCTGCGCTTTTAGATGAAAACATAACTATTTCTTATAAATACATTTCACGTCTCACAGGAGGTTCATAAGTAATGTTTTCTGTTCTATACCAGACCCATTTTTTAAATGTATCGTCCCAGACATGAAATTGGTATGTCATTCTTATGGCCATTTTGTTCCTTAACGCATAACATTTGAATTTGAACTTAAAACTACTACTACTATATATAGCCTCTGGTTGCTAAATGAGTTGCTCTAGTGAAAGTAAGTGCGTACAGCCACTCTTTACATGCAGTAGGAAATTTAAAATATGTTTCTATGCTGATAAAAGGGTGACTTTACTCGACTGCATGTCATCTTATGAAGCATTGAGTGGGTGTTTCAGCGGTGTACAGGCTGAGGGTGGGGGTGTGGGGCTGACCTTGGGTTGGAAGGCTCCTTGCAGCGAGCTGAAGGGTCCTGAGTGTGGGAGCATCGGGGGCATGCCTGGCATGGTGGGGGGGTAGGAGGGGAAGAACTGGGGAGGAAAGAGGAGGACGCGAGATATAAAAAAAAAAGGACACAAAACAAAATCAAGCAGAGATACGTGTAGGACTCGTATGCACACACATCGTCAGAAACGCTCTCGGGCAACATTCAAATATGTCAGATATTTGATTTGCCAAATGCAAATAACACATTTGAATAAGAATGACAAAAAGAAACTCACGTTTGAATGTCTGATGAATGGATTGTCCAGTTTGGGGGTGTATTTGTCGAACTGGAAGAAAAAAAGGAGAGGAAAGAATTAGGAAATAAAATCCTTCGTGTACGAGCTTTAAATAATAAGCTTTCATTACTTTCACATTACAAAAACAAAACACATGATCAACATCTGTAGCTGGTTTGGATCCAGAATAATGAACCCTGGAGAAAAGCAGCTGGCTTGCACCGGTCATGGGTTTACTTGGTCAGATAGGCAGTTCAATTACTAACAATACGAGCGCTTAAGCACACGGCCAAGATGAAGACAGCCTGCATGATTTTCCAATTGAGCGTACAGAGGTTAGGCGTGGAGGCCCGGCTTGTGGAATCAGACCATTTTGAAACCAGTTGTTTCTATTCACTGGAACATTTGTAGAAATGTGAATCTAATTGCTTTTGACTGCCAGGGCCTTTCTTTTTCATTTTCTTCGCAACGAGCCCCGATGGTATGGATGTGAGGGGAGTAGGTGGAGACATACAGCTTGTTTTAGGTGTTAGAAATCCAGATTCAGATTTCAAATTAAGGCCAAATATCTGTCCATAAAGTCACGGAAAGCAAAACTGTTTTGCGTCTGTCTTCTATAATTCAAGCCGAACCATGTAGATGACATTTGCATGCGGTTCGAAGCTAATTCAGGGACAGATCAGTATGAAACCGAGGAAGGCTTGGACATGCTGAAATTGATGTGTGGAAACCTTAGAGCTAATGCCTACCAGAATAATCTAGAATTTGCCGTAGTATGAAAATATGTTCTGATCATGCCCTGAACACATGGGAATCTAGTCAGTAAGCTGAGAAGGGTTGGAGGGAGGGAGAGCCTCATGTATGAATGGTTACTTTGTATGTCTGTTCTCAGGCCAATACTGGCGCTTTATTTTGAAACAGGCTAATTACAAGTGACACTAACTTATTCCTATTCCGCAAATACACAAACCATTTGCAGGTACTTTTTGCGAGTGTTTTCTCAAAGCTCTCTTGGCAGGAGCAGATGTTTTGGGTTTACATAAAGCAGGGAAATGTGTGGGTATGAATCAGTGTTTCTGTGTGTGCTTGTGCAGCGACACGGGTGGTTAAGGGGGGGGGGTTGGGTCAGGCTTAGCACGCCCGTACCGTCTTACCCGTATTAATTTACTTTATGGGAAAGCATCAATCTAATTATTTGTAATTTATACCAGATTTGAGTTGTCTTTAGTCGGTTATCGTTTTGTTCATTGTGTGTGAATGGTGAGAAGATTGAACGGTGGCCAATTAGGCTTAACTTGCTATATTCCACCTAGTGTTGGGATAGAGTGTCGATGATTATAAGGGGGACAAGATCTCGCCTAGTGAACCAAAAAAAGAGTATGATGACGTGTCCGTATACTGTAACAAAAGTCAAAAATTATTGCACAGCAGGATATAATATATTTTTGTTCAGTCGGTGATCGTCTATCGCTGCTCTTGTAAGAGTACGGTGTCTCTGGTCTCTCGTTGAAGATGGCCAGAAGTGTGGTCAGACGCGCGACTTAAGAAAAGCGCAGCGGGCCGGTAGGCGGGAGATGTGGGGGGAGCATTGTGGGACGCCGCCGCCGGTCGATCGGAGTGATGAGAGGGTGTACTTTACACAGGACGGAGCTGTGCGTGAGCGATGATGCTGACTGTCGCTTGCTGGGTTGTCCTGTCTTCGCTATGTCCGTGTTTACTTCGGGTGATCTCATCTATGTCATGTGAGTATGTGATGATCGATGCTCTCGCTTGTGTTCGGGCGAGCAACGATATGGAAGAGTAATGCTGACAATGACATATCAAAGTGGCAGCTCATTGGGAGGACTAGCGTGAGAATGACTGTAATATAGATGCTAGACGGGATATATGCAATGATGTTTGTGCTCTAGTACGTATCTATGCAGTGGGTGGTGAATGAATGTAATGATGCGTGGATTTGAATTATGAGAGTCATCTTAAGTCATATAACATGTAAAGTTTGTGAGGTTAGCTCTAGGAAGATGATGAGTATCTATATAATAAGATCTTCGCATGTGTACCGAGGTAAGTGCAGGATCAGTGATCACATCTGCGTGGAGTATATGAGACAGACAGGGCTATGCGCTCGCGTGTGGCACGACTGTCGTAGAGGCGAGAGGAAGTGCTAAGCATGATGGACTAGACTCGACTGCGAGAAGAAAGCGCCGAGCCAGGCTTTCCGCGAGCGTCATATATGAAGCGTCCTCTGAAGGCGCAGGCGGTCTTAATCGCGCTATGGAGCACTCTCGGTAATCAGCGATTTTGGCGCCTGCTAGTTGGTCTTGTACATATGCATCCTGTTTTTATGGGATGATAACATGAGACAGTCTCTAAGAGTCTGTTGTACGCTCTAGTGTGTGATATAAATGATAGCGAGAGAGTGTAAAGAAACTTAATCGGTGCTTTTTCGTCGAGTGTACATACTGTGAACGAGTTTTGTCCGAGTCTATGATTAAGTATATGCGTATGCTCATTGCCTGCATGTGTTGCTCGAGTATGTAAGAATGAATGATGTGATAGGTGCATGTGTAGTAACTCGCGAATTACGAAGGTGTAGATCTCTTGTCTCTAAGGGGAGTGGAAGAGCTAGCACAGCGGATAGATTACTGCTATAGGTAGATCATAGAGGAGTGATACTGTCGTGATCTATCTCCGGAATTGATGTCGCTTACTAGCTCAGTGAAGAATCTCCGAGAGTGTAGATGTCGAAAGAGATCGAGCACTTTTAGACTTCTAGAAACAAACCCCTCCATCGAGCAGGGGGTGTCTCAGTGAATCTTGCGGATACAAAGATATCTGATAACTTTGTTATGTAATGGGAACAGTGTGATATTCTGCCTATATTCATTTCAACATCAATAATCATGTGCTCCTTATTCTTTGCATGTAACGCTATGTAAATTTATAAGCAATAAAGTCTCATTAAAATAACGGAATATTAAGTGAATACGATTCTGTATCTTATTTTATTACATGCCTAAAATGCGGGATTTTTATTCCTCCCATATCCAACAGATCACATTGTTAGATAGCTGAGGCCATATTATCATGCACTGTGTTGAAATGCTCCGGATGTGTACCGTCGTTCCACCATCTATGTAGTGATGCCAGATGTAACATAGTAGTGTGTTTCTGCCGTACCGTAACGAAACAGCGGTAGAGGACTGATGTAGGTCCTTAATATACTTACTCTTCAATGGAGCCAATTAACAGCTGCTGAATATCTTAATTAATATAATCAAATATTATCCTTTTGTGAATTATGCGTGAATGCTAACTATTATATGCCCATTGGCTTCATATCTGTGCAGCGGCAGCAGTCATCGTAAATAAGCTGATCAGCTTCACTCTTTTCAAGTACAGCGATTTAATTATGTAAATGATGCTAGTGTCTGCCAGCTGCCTCTGCGTTGTATTCTATATTCAAGGGGGAGCTGTGTACTGTAATGTTTCTCTTTCACTGCTTGTAGGTGTTTCCATGATATTGACTTATGGTACCTCACGTCTTCGGCCTCGGACGCTAGGGACGTGTTCTCAAGTTCAAGTGTTTGAGGGGCAGGCGACGTTGTGGACTTTGGTAGGAGCTCTCAGCGGTGGAAATGCTGGATCATAGGCTGCCGGTGTTGTGCTGTCGGGAGCGGCGACACA